TCAAGAATCGATTGACCTTCATAGGGTTGAAGTATTTCGTCCTGTAATTGATCAAATTATAAACAGCTTGTCGGAACGGTTTTCTGCGAATAAAGAGCTTATTTTGAATGTGCAATATTTGCATCCAATGCATTTTGAGGGTATAAAAAGTAAAGGTATTTCTGAAAAGGCCTTAGAAAAACTGGCACAATTGGCAAATATATAGAGTGTTAAATTACGTAACGAATTGTGTTCATTTGCCAGTGTATTCAAAGATTTAGTGGAAGAATTAAATGAAACGGACAATGATATCGTATGTACAAGTGAGGATTCATATGAAGAAGATGGAATATTACAAAATGATATTAACTCAAAATGTGATAATAGATGTAACAAGTGTTTAATATGTGTGTACGAAATTATTAAAAGATACAATATGCATACAAGTGCTTACACTAATTTATTTTTAGCATATAAATACATTTTAACTTTATCATTTACGCAAGTCAATTGTGAGAGAACATTTAGTAAATTAAGAATTATAAAAAATGGGCTGAGACCAAATATAGGACAAGAAAAATTAGAAGCATTTTTAATGATGTCAGTTGAACGGGAACTTTTAGCGCAGATTGAACTAAAAGATACTTGTTTATTTGTGCAAAGGTTCAAAGTTAATGAGAGATTTATTAACTTAAAAATTTATATTAATTCTTTTATTTAAATCTTATTTATATCTATTTACAATATGATCGGTGGTAGCAATTTTATTTTCTGTGCAATATTGTATAATTGCAATAATTTTTTATGTGAAATTAATTGATTTTATATATTGAGTATTATGTATTATTTTATAATTAACATGTGATGTATGATTTAATTTTATAGTGCATTATTGTTTTATAACTAATATAAAATATATGTGCAATAAATATGATCTTAGATGTGCAATTTTATGAAATAAAATATATATGAGTTTTTTAAAATGTACATCGTTTGTAACTATTTTCAAAAATAAGAAGTTATAAAAATCATATAATTCAGAAGCCATTTAAGGGAACCCGGCCAAAGGCCGGGCAAAACAAAATTAGGGGTATGGGGGCGAAGTCCCCATAAAAATGAGGCCGCTATAAAAAAAATGCCCACGAGGCCGTAGCGTCGCCAGTCCGCCCCTACTGGCGGCATAAAATTGTTGTACCAGGGGATGGAGTTTCAATTATCATGGTAAATAATGGATTATCAACCAAGGACATTGGCTTAACTGTATAAATTATAAAATCAACAATAACTTTATCAGCCAGTTTCTGTGAAATATTGACATTTGCATTATTAATTAATTTGGTTTGAATTGAGTTATTTTTGCATGTAGAGTCGCCTATACAAAATTATTTAGATGTTTCTCCATCTCCTTAAAACTAATGAACAGTCATAAAATAAATATTATAAGAATGTAAAAATGACAATTTACCTTTAGGTGTTTCTTGAGGTTATAGCTACTGGATTGATTTGAGGAAATATTTTTTTTTACATTTTAAACAAATAAATTTGAAGCCAGTTTTGGATTATATATTTATTTTAAAAAATTTTCAAATGTAGGAAATGGGAAATTTGTATTATAGCTATTAAGAACATTTTCTTCCTTGGTATCTTCTATTTCATTAATATCATTGTCTGAATCACTTTCAACCAGGGATGTGAACCCGGACCCGAACCCTGAACCCTCGTATTTTGGCTGAACCCGAATCCGGACCCTTTTAAAAAGTGGAGGGTCCAAGGGTTCAGGGTAAAAAAATTTTAACATAAAAAATTTTTTTTTTAAAATAATGAAAAATATTATTTTTAAAAAATAATATAAAATTTTTATAATTTTATTAATTTTTTTCGTGGAATCATTTATTTTATCTTCGTGTTTTTCTTTCGTTTTTCTTCCTGGACTTCATTTCATTTTATTTAGAGATTGATATTATTGATACCATAAATTATTTTCAGTAAATAATAATATTTTATAATGAATAGAAAAAAATACCAGCAAAAATAATAAAGGAAACAAAAAACAAATTAATTTCATTAAAAATTGATTCCGCCTAAAGATTAGGGAGAAATATTCTAGGAATAAATATACAGTATATAAAAGGAAATATTATAATATTAAGAAATTTAGCTATGAAGGAGATTAAAGAGAGTTCAACTTCTGAAAATATAAAAAGAATGATATTAAAAGCATTAAATAAATTTCATATTCCTATAAGAAACGTTTATACAATTACTACGGATAATGGTGTTAATCTAGTAAAATCAATCAAATTATTACAATGTTCACTGGAAGAAATGGATGATATAGATGATGATAATTATGTGGACATAAGTGAAACTGATTTACTGGAAATAATAAAAGATTTCTCCACAAAAATATACTGTATCAGATGTGCACCCCATGCGCTACAATTGGCTATTAATGATTCCCTAAAAATTAATCACTTTAAAACTCTAATTGATAAAGCAAGGCATGTTGTGTAATATTTAAGAACTCCCACAATTGTAAGAATATTAAAATCTATGAAAAGGCAAATGACAATATTAGATTGCACAACACGTTGGTCCTCTATTTGTATGATGCTAGAGCTATTAATAAGTTTGAAAGATTTCTGTAATGATTTTATTATATAAGCATGTGAAGTCATTTTGTCGGAAGATGATTGGAATTAAATAAAAGACCTTACTAGTATGTTGGTTCCTTTAAAAATAACTACATTAAGATTGCAAGCAGAACAGTTATGTTTATCGGATTTTTATGGCATATGGATAAGATTTCGATTAGAATTAGAAAGATTTACAAGTTCTTTTTCATATGAAGTATTAGAAAATATGAAAATTAGATAGCAACATATGCTTCAATATATTTAGACCCTAGATATCAAGTTTTATTAAGTATTGAGCAAAAAAAAAGGCTATAAACCATCTTGAGGATTTATGGCATATCCAAAACTCTATTATTTATAATATATTGGAGGTTACGACAATATCTACTGGTTGTAGCGATAACATTGATAATGATAACAATATTGATGATCTGGAAATTTTACTATTAGATAGAGAAAAAAATAATTAAATTATCATCAGATAGAAAGGAACATAAAATTTATATTGTATCTATAATAGAAAAGTTCTCAGAAGTTAAGAGAATAAATAGAGATACAAATATTTTAAAATTCTGGGCGGAAAATTCTTCAATATATCCAGAATATACCTTGTCTAGAATCGTCATGGGTGTACCGGCGGCACAAGTAATAATTTATGTATTATAAAAATGATAATCTATTTTGAGTAAGTGTAGAAGGTGGATTTTCATCGTTGAAATATTTATTGTCAAATTTACGTGGAAATCTGAAGGATGATAGTTTAGAAGATATCATGATTCTGCGATTGAATAAAATATTTAAAATATAAATTATTTCATTTTGTATTATGAATGTGTAATATTGAAGTATAATAAAAAATGAATGAAAATTTTTTTTTAATTTTGAGTCATTATTTTTATATTCCCTGAACCCAGACCCGAACCCTGGACCCGGGTACTATTTAAATTTATTACTGGACCCGAACCCGGACCTGGACCCATTTTTTTTGTCGAAGGGTTCACATCCCTGCTTTCAACGATTTGGATATCCATAAGCGATTACATTTTAAATTATTAACACATGATTTAGGTTTAAAATACAAATGAAAATATAAATTACAAATCGAAAATATATTTCAATTTCAAAATCAAATAAAAATCGAAAATTATAATTAATTATGATATTATATTTAAATTTTCATGTTTATACTTACATTCATTATATTTTTTAAAAGTAGCTAAGTAGCGGCTTTTCAAAAAAAGTAGCACGCTAAAAAATCAAATAATTACAAAAAAATTAGCCGCTATTAGCTATACCTACCTAATAGCGCGCTACTTTAAAAACTCTGATGGGATTTGGCTAAAAACTTTTTTAAAGACGTTGGCCGCCTAATCAGAAAAAATTCTGGGGAGTCTCGCGAAGGTTTTTACTTAAGGCAGAGGATCGCAATAGCCATTCTTAAGGCTAATTATGTTTATTTTATTAATTCGATCTCTCCTGATGATTAGGTGTTTGCTGCTTTGGCTTTTATTTATTTTGTATTTTATATTATTTTATGATCTATACCTCAATATTGACCTTTTGTTATTATGATTTTTTTTTTCGTAATCGTTTACTAATTATATATTTTTCATTTTATAAATTATACAATTATAAATTAAGTATAAAGATTATATTTTTTAATTTAAAAAATAACAGTTTAAGAAGTATTAATAACAATTTCTTTCAAAATTATGTGGAAAGATTTATTTTGAAATTTTATTTTTTGCTCCTAGAATTAAAATTGAATATCTTGAATTATTTAAATCATAGCTCTAATTTATTGTTTATAATTATATGTATAAAAAATTACTATTAGCTTTCATTTCTATATACCATTTAATGATAAAGATCTAGAGCTCTTTATCTTGTTCTTATCTCAGCATAAAATATTCTAAATATATAAAGGCGCTCATTAAAAATACGTGATACGTAATAAAACGGCATTCTAGTTGTGAATACAACAGAGATAAGCTAGGTTTTCCTCATCCATCAAATTGGTTATTTAATATAAATGGGAAAAAAATGAGGGGCCCTCCTACGTACGCGCTATGGTTCAAGAACTGTTACTTGAAAGCCTGTAGGCTGATTAAAAATGGGCTAGAAACATAGCCTACACTCATGAATTGCATATGTATTTAATTACTTTATAGGAAAGGGAATAGCTGATTTTAATTTTAAAATATTTTATGTTTAAGATAAATGAGTATATGTTGTTAAATGGAAATACATAGCAAATGAAAAAAAAAATAGGTGAAATAAGAGGTAACGTCAATGAGATATGAATCAGAGATACGTGAAATAAATGTTTAGAAGTTCAATTCCATAATAAAAATTTTACCTATATTTATATGTGAATATAAACTTCTATTCTTTTTAAAAATGCTGATTTCCAAAAATATTTTGAATTTTTTCCCTTATAAAATAAAATTTAGGAGCCTTTATAAGTAATTTTATATTCATATTTAAATAAATTATTATAAATGCTATTATATGTTATTATTGTTATATATTGTGCTGGAATACTTATTTCACATTGCATTTAAAATATTAAAAAATTATATTTAACATTATTTTTAATAACAGCTGATCATCCTTCAATTACTAGTTTTTAACCTATGATACATATAAATATAAAATATAAGGAAAATTAAAAAAAATCAAAAATAACTTTAAAATCACAAGTAACAAAAAAATATCAAAAATATACGTTCAGATGGTTTTAATTCTATACTTTTTATGTAAGTTTTAATTTTATCTTTTTTGTTAATGGACATAATTTATTTTATTCTTTTTGACCAAACCTCTTTACTCTATAGCTAGTCCATACTCCCTCTCCATTAATGTCTAATATAAATGTACATTTTTAATCACTTTTTGGTTTTAGTCCTTTTCCTATTTTGTTTTTAATATAAGATACAATTTAATTTTCAATACAAAATAAAAGATAAGTAGTAAATTTAAATAGTGATACACTGCTAATTGATCTTCAGAATACTTGTAAAGTATTATTAATTAAAAGTAATTTTTTACAAATAATTTAAAAATAGTTTTACAGTTCTATTTTCTTTTCAGTTTTCAATTTTATTTTTTCTTTTTTAATTTTAGTTCAGGATACTGTATAAGGTAATATTTAAAATATGTTATTAAATGTGTACATTTTCTATTTTACTTTTGGTTTTAGTCTTGTTCTATTTTATTTTTAATACAAGATACAATTTAATTTAATACTAAATTAAAGATAAAATGTAGTAAATTTAATAGTGACGCACTGCTAATTTATTTTCTAGATATTTGTAAAGTATTATTAATTAAAAGTATTTTACAAATAATTTAAAAGTAATTTTATAGCTTTATTCTTTTCTTTTTTCAGTTTTATTTTCCAGTTTAATTTTAGCTCAGGATACTACATCAATTACAAGTCATAATAAAATTTAATATATGTATATTCTATTTCCCAGTTACTCCTAAGACTTAAATTGTAACATTGCCAATATGACCCTTCCATAATCAAAACTTACTTAATCGGGCATGGGCTTTTATCTGTCCCTTTTACTTCCCATGGGCGTTTAAGTGAGTGGCTTTGCCAATTACGCGCACAGGTAACTGCGGCCTGCCCAAAAATCGTGGATGGTCCTCTTATTTATTTTCCCATTTTTTTTATCCCAGTTTGATGGGTTTTTTCATAAGAGAACCAGCGTTGCTCTGTTGTATATATAACATTTGCTATATGTACTACGTTTAGGGCTAGTGCACTTAATATCACGTATCACGTAACTTACATTCACAATGGTAAGCATGAAAACCTTTTTAGATTGCTTTGTGTTTTAAATTCTAAATGAAATCAAAAGGAAAATATCTAAAAACACTAATGATCCAGTATCAGAATTGTATTTTAATTTAAGCTTATTATTACATTATAAGCTATAATGTCCTGTTTTTAAAATTGATAGCTTAAGGTAGTTGGAGTAAAATATTATAAGCCTACCAGCTTTTATATATTAGATTTTTTAAAAAGTCTTAAGCCACTACAATACATTTTATGTAAGTAACAAACAGAGTTGGGCAGGTCCTCCGGAAAAAGAATCTAGATACAGATTCTTTGTGATAAAATGAATCTTAGATACAGATATTAGTATCTTTTTCAAAATATCAAAAAGATACAAGATAAAAGATACTTGTATCTTTTGCCTAATTAGAGTATCTTAAATACAAGATACTTTTAAATTTAAATTAGAATAGTTTATAAAATACAGTTTTTGTTCTTTATTTTTGAAGAACATAACATACGCATATAATAAAAATGAATATTAACAATAATTAATAAAATATTTAATGATGAGTTAATTATAATAATCAGGCATTTTAGTAATAGCCCATTCTTAGCATAGATAGACAAGGGAGACTACTATTTTTAATGGGAGTTAAATATTAATTTGCAAAAGAGTATTTAAAATAGATTCATTATTTTATAAAATAATCAAATTTTTCAAATAATTTATTATTAGTCCTTTTTGTCGTTACGGCTTACTTAATATTGTGCCAAAACTAAATAACCTATTGGAGCTGATATAGGTATTGCATTATTAAATTTATATAATATTTCCTAAATGGATGCAGTGGCATAGACAAGGGGGTGGGGTTTAGGGTTGAACCATCCCCCCCCCCCTTCCCCATAACCTTCGAATTTTTTTTTTTTAGATAGAAATTTTTTTTTCTTATTGCGAATTATTTTTTTAAAAACGGTTTCAATTTATAAATAAAATTATATACGATATGAAAATGAAATATATTTAAAAAAATAAATAAAAATTTTAAATGATAACATGGTTTAAAAATATATATTATAAATTATATGTAAAATATTAAATAACTATAAAAATATATTGTAAATTTTTTCTAGCATAGTTAAATAGTTAAATTAGATATTTATAAATTTAATAATATTGTTAAACTAATTAGATTTTAAAAATTTAATTTATTTTTTATAATTTTTAAATAAAAGAAAAATCATTTAATTTGGAATATAATGAGAAAGTAAAGGTAATCGCTAATATGTTTGGGATTAAAAATTTTAAACCTAGAGTAGTTTCTAGATAGTCCAATCGCTTAAATATTGATGCTTCTACGATTGAGGATGTTTATAAAATAAATATTTTTACTCCCCTTATTGATACATTTTTATTTCAATTAAAGGAAAGATTTATTAGTCACAATTTTATTTTAGACAGCTTTTATTTTCTTTTGCCGGTTAAGTCTGAATTCACTTGAAACGCGAAAGGATATTAAGAAAATCTCAGAGTTTTATTCTGATGAATTATCAGGATGGTATGATAAGTTACTTTGTGATGTCGAATTTTGGTATAAATTTGACAGAATAGAGTACTCTTTGAGACCCAAAAATGTTTTGCAGACCCTCTCCATGTGTAATTGCACTTTAGATTCCCTGCCTAATATCAAAACATTGCTTTTTATTTTAGCTACCTTACCCATTAGCACCTGCACTAATGAAAGGTCTTCTCAACTTTGAAAAGTTTAAAAACTTAAATAGCACCGTTGAAAGCCGTTTAAATGGATTCGTAATATTAAATATTTACAAGGAGATTGTCAAATCTCAGAGAAAAGTAGAGCTCCCTTTATAAATTCAAATAATAAATTGCTATATTATTATAAAATAAAATTTTTATATTCAAAACATAATTATAATGAATTCTTAGTCATAATATTTATATATTATACTATTTTTAATAAAATTATTGTATTTGCAATAAGAATTAGTGATCTGCATCGGGCCTAATTTTCAAGCCCGGCTCAGCCCAAAATTATTTTAAAAATATATTGCCGGTCTGAACACGAAATTTTTTTAAAAAAGTTTTGTCGGCCTGTTTTGAATTTATTTAAATATGGAAATTCATTTTTATTATTACTCAAAATAAAAGATATATGTTTATGGCGTCTAGTTTTTATAAATAAAATAAATTTAACATAAAATTGATATATTTAGATATATTTTAAAAAAAATTCCAAAGCCCAACCCAACCCAGCCCGATTTTTTTAAAAAATTTTAGGCCTGAACTCGATTTTCCTACTTTTGCAGTTCCCTAATAAGAATTATTAATGTTTTATTATACTCATTTGTTATCATTAAAATCAATACATAGTTAAATAAAGGGGTGTTATTTATACTAAAGTATTTTAATGATAAAATAAAATCTATAGTGAAATTCTCTGCAAAATTTTGTTATATGAAAAAAAAATTTAATTAAAAAAATTATTTTTAACATATAATAAGATATATTGAGTGTCATAAAAAATGGGAGGTTTAGGGGGCGATTTTATTATTCTTTCTACACCGAATGGATTGAATTAATTTACAATTGACTAAACATTGATAAAATTTTCAGAACAATGCTCTCAGTCACATATAAATCATAAATTTGTAGTGCTGTAAACATTTTTAAAAAAATCGAACGCGTTCGCGTTCAACGTTCATTGACAAAAATCGAACGCGTTCACGTTCACGTTCAAATTCAAAAAAAGGAACACGTTCAAGTTCATGAACGCGTTCATACGTTCAAAATTTTATGATAAATTTTTTTAAAAATTTAATTTAATATAAATAAATGCCTTATATTTTTCAACACAATATATTAGCCATGATAAAAAATAATAGTTTTATTTTAATAATATAATTATAAATACAATATAATAGAGCGATAAAAAAATTAATTTATAAAAAAATTTTTCTTATTAATTTTTAATAATAATTGCTTTTCAAAATTTTCATCTGATAGGCATGAACGCTTGTCAGTTAATACAGCGTTAGCTATACTAAAAACTCGCTCAACAGGGGCGGATGAAGGGATTGCGGTGTTATACTTGATAAACAATTCTTTTAAAAGGGGGAATTTATTAAAAACATTTAATGTTTTATCCATTGTTTCAAAAAATTGAGCTATGTTATCATCCTCCAATCTGCCCTCATCTTCCTCGTCAAATAAAAAGGATATCTCGGAATTGATTTTAAAACAGTGAAATACTTTTGATATTTGGGCCATGGTAATTCTAATTCATCTAATATTGAATTTTGATTTTCAGAATCTGATGATGAAATATTTATATCCATGCAAATGCTAATCTATTAAATTAAAATATAAAATATTCAAATTAATAAACTTTAATCTTATCTTCTATAGCAGTAGCACTATGGTACGTTAATTGCAATATGAAAAAGGAAAAAGTAAAAACAGCTGATTAAAAAATATAAGACTTTTTTGTTAAAAAATGCGGATTAATATTAATTTTTCAAATAAATAAAAATAAAAAGTGTTTTTAAAATTGAACGAACGTAAAATTGAACGCGTTCATCAAAGAAAAGGAACGCGTTCGCGTTCAAAGTTCGTCAAAAAAAAGGAACGCCGTTCATCACCTTTTTTCAAAAAAACGA